AAGATGGCTGAACACTAATGTGTCACACATACATTTGCCTTTGTCAAGGATGGCTGAACACATGTGTCCTCCGTGTTGACAAAGCATCCTTTGTCAAGACAGGTGTGCCTGACAAGTCTCCTCACCTTTCACGCCCCAAATTCTCGCCGAACAGGTGGCGGGTCTACTTTCCAATCGCCTACCCCGCCGGGCGGTCTCCCTGTTGTTTCGCGACCACGACCCACGTGTGACTTGCTGGAAGTGTGGAGGTGCCCCCTCATGTGATGATTGGCACAGTGAGCAAGTAGTCCAAGGTATCAAAAAGGGTGTGTGTGTGTGTGTGATCATGGTCGTGATGTATTACTTTGTCACAAAAGCTCAGCACTCAAAAACTGCAGAAAGGACCGTGCCGATAAATGAAAATGCTGCTACAGCTACAACCAAGAATAAACTACAGCAGAATCAATGCTGTATTTGATTCGCCAAAGGCCGCTCCCACTAGCGAGTAAAAAAAAAATCGTGTATATATATATATATATATTATATATATACATATGTCCAACCTAGTTCTAGGGAACCTCGACGGAAAGATGCAAGAACCAGTGGATTCATTTGTCCAGTTTCTTTGAATTTCATGTATCCCTCTTTCACGGCGCAGCTGGCTGCGCTGGTCTTCTGGGTTTTCTTGGTGTTCTTCTTATTTCTTCGTGCTGCTTTCAGCTGCGGTTGTTTCCGTTGCCACAATGGCAACAAAAAACATGAAACTTCTATGACCAGGGGCCTCGCCCGTTTTGGAAGGACCATCTCCCACCATTCCTACCGACCAGTGGACCAGGAATGGGGGCGATGGGGCGCACGTCAAGCGGATCTCCGCAACCGGCGTTTTTGAGCACAACTTGCTTTGCCGGTTTTCACAGGTTGTTTTTCTTCGGACGGATCTTGGAAATCGACGAACGAATGAATTTTGCTGATACGTTCGGCTGCAAACAGAGAGCAATGTTCGTCCCACAGACAGTGGTGTAACTTGGTTTTTTCCCACTTGGCCCAGATGAGCATGTAGTCCATTGTTTGCTTTTCCACAACCCACGCCTGCGTCGCTGGGGATGCCAACTGCGCAAACTGCTCCAAGATCACAACGTCCGTCGCCTGTTGGGATGGGACGGCTACTGCAGATGGGCAAGATCCCACATTGAGCGTTGGTGAGAGAGAAGTCAGGAGTCTTCGAAGCAAACTGATCCCAGCTCAGAAAAATTGAACTTTCTTTGTTTGGAGATTTCAACGCTACTTGCCGGCCATCCTTTGCCTCAGGGGGGAAATCACTTTAAGAAGGTGACTGGGTTGTACCGTATGGCCAGCAGGGAAAGAACGCATACTCACTCCACTTGGAGCAACCCCACGACCCAGTGAACCAAGAAAAAAGGCCGGCTAAACTGCAGGTCTATGTGTTCTTCAAGCCAGAATCCGAATCCCTTGTTGTGTGAGCTTCTAGAGTCTAGACTATTGCAAACATGTGATGTTCGCACTTTGGAGATCAAGATGCATTTTTTGTGCAGGGTGGTTCCCAACTGTGGGTTCTTCTTTTTTCTTCATAAGTTCATAAGTGTTTTTTCGTCTTCTTGCTGTGTTGACCACACTGCACACGCGACAAACCCCTTAAAAACCGTGGTTTTGGGCGCTTGTGATCCAGCGTGCGGGTGCACATCTGCAGTAGAATAATCAGAATCACCAAACGTTTTGCTTCTCAGTTCCCTCCGCCATGCGCGCAATAGATCACGTCGAAAAAAGGAGCTTTCCTCCCCTGAGAAGTCGGTGTTGGTGTGGGGTTCCGAGAAGAGGCTGATCATGTTGATGATCGATATCTAAAGGAAATTCCCCAGAACGGAATCGGCCTAATTAGATAGGACTCGACCACTCAAATCTCCTTCCTAACCAAGTGGGCAGGCCTCAGTGTTCTATCAGTGGCGGCTCCTAGATGGATGACTATAGAGAGAGAATGCATGAAACAGCGATTCTGTGATGCGTTGTTTTTCATGTGGTTCAGGACGTTGGCGTTGATAGTTCTTTCTACTTTCATTGCAACTTGGTTGTCGTCCCCGACTGACCTGTCAGGGTTTCGCCCAAAGCTCGCAGGTATGCAAGTGCCTGGATCTCAGTCGGCCACACAAAACCATGAAGGAGGTTAGTTACAAGCAGCATGTGGTTGCAGAAGACTATACCCATTGAAGAATGCCACCAGACAACACGCTATACATGTATATTCCACGTTTGGGCAATCAATGGCGGGGCTCTTGAGTTTCCGTGGCTTTCCATCCCCTATCTCGTTACAGTTTTGTCCCTCACAGCATTTTCGGGTGCTCTTGCAGCGTCAGGCCCAATGCTGGGACGATGCCATCAATCCCGGGGTTGGCTGCTATGCCAGGTGCGTCAACCTTCAGTTTCCATGTGTCTACACTCGACTACGACGCAAAACACAGAGAGGAGCACCACATGAGATCCGCTAAGCTTGGACTGACTGCGGAGAAAATCCGCAGCCAGTCACACAGCTGTGATTAGGGACGCAGCTGTGATTTAGGAGTCACGCCGTTGCAGATACCAAAGAGGCTGCTTTAGGGCTGACCTGCACCTTGAAGGGCAGCTACAGATTGTTCAAGTGCTGAAGTGTTTAAGGACCCAGCATTTCTTCTTTCGGCCGTGGGCATGCCCACCCGCTTCCAGCAAGCGCGCGAGCTCGCATCCAGGTGCAGCGCAGATGCCCAACATGATGCGTGGGTGCTCGGTGGGGAAAGACTGAAGCTTCTTGGATGCTCCGTTCGTAGCGTCCTTGTTCCTAGTAGCGATGCCAGGAGCCCCTAGTAGCTA